GTTCATTCACAATAATAATTCCCTCATGTTATGTTATGGAATACCAGCAATGATGTATTCAAGCTTAAGTTGTATCTCCAATAAATCCCTCTATACAGTACATACAATACAAAATACTTCAGTTCTTACCTAGTTCTATTAACATTGTGATATTAGGATCAGTGATATAGTTAGAAAATGGTTCCTCATATCCTCTTCCTACATCTTTCCATTCACGTGTTCCTTTCCCACCCACTACCACCAACCACACACAGTCTGGACTCATCATTATTGATGATAAGGAATGAGCCCATCTACCAGTAACAGATTCAGGTAGAACAATCTGTTGAAATAATACATGTATGGTAATATTTTATCATGTAAACAGTATTTACAATATGTTACAAATATTCAAGGGAATATACATGTACATGCATTAGGTACATGTACTGTACATGCACACAGTGAGTATTTCTAAGGTATTAATACAATACAATACATTAACATGACAACTACTCTACAATCACTGTATCACACACATGTACACTCTAAACTAATAACATTATACACATACCTTACTCCACTGGTACTGACTAGTATTCAGTAACCAACTATCATTTACTAGTTGACCCTTACCATCTCCACCTATCATTACTAGTGTAGGTGAGTCACTGATGATACTAGTAATAGCATAATAACGTCTCTTCACAGGCCACTGTACACTAGCAGGTACTACTGGTCCCTTAACACTCTCCCAGTGCTAGATAAAATGAATTAATCAATATTATAAAATGTATTAATGCATGTACACTGTTCTATTGTACCGTATAAGATGAAATGTTGACAGGGATTTTATATTGGCGGATTGGCGGATTTATATAAAAACGCCAAAATAAAATTCATGCGTGTGACCACACCCACATTAATTTTAGTTAAAAGCATGGTTAAAAGCAGCTAGCTAACATGACTTTACTATGTTTCTTTAAGCCAGTCTCTAAACCAGGTGATAAAGAATACAATCTTCCAGAAAAGGTACAGTCTTTCTCTGATAATAATGTTCTCCAAGAACTACAACCGCTTAAGTAAAACCCCGCCTAAGGGTGGGGATATAATTAAATTGTTAGAAACCGCCAATATTAAATCCGCCAATAAGCTAGCCATCACAAAACCGCCAAAAAAACTCCCGCCAACAAATCATCTTATACGGTACTTAAGAGTTTGTACATTTAATTATAAAATAATTATGTTAATACTAGTGATAATTGTACAGTTTCCATTAAAATCAATTATTAAACCAAATCTGCATGTAATACTCATTTAAATACATTTTTCAAATTACAAGCTATACCCGTATGTACATGTATTAATGTCCAAACATGATTGATCCATGCAATAAATACATCCCATACAGTAATAAGATAACTTACTATTGTAGTATCAGACACCAGTTGACATGTATAGACTGTATTAACAACTATATCACTTCTACCATCATCACTAGCCACTCCTCCACCAAACATGACAGCTTTATTATTAGAAATCTTTTGAATAGCAAAGGCACTAGTAGGAGGACAACACTGACCACTAATAGTTGGAATAATCCATTGTCCTAAATAGAAATAGATAGTATAATTAGAATTATTAAGTATGACACTGCAAATATCATGTATAGGTGTAGGAAAGGGGGGGCTAGGGGGGCTGAAGCCCCCCCCCAACATTTTAGCAGGAGGGACTTAGCTCCCCAACTTTTGGTAGATGAACAATAAGAAATACCATCACATGGCTTTATTTCAAGTTGTTTATGGTATTACATGGCTTTACGACAGTACCGTTTATGTTTTTATGTTCAACCCCCTTCAGCCCCCCCAACTTTCAAATCATTCCTACACCTATGTATACATGTACGTATACATGTATAGCAAGAAATAATGGCTATAAATTTGGCAATTTGCTAAAAACAACCAATTTAAAATTTTCATTTTGTTCCACTTTGCACAGATACATGTCAGTTATGGCTCAATGTGACAACATTTGACAATATCATTCATAAATGGAGTAAAATGATTATTAGAGTTCAGTAAACTAAATGAATGAATGAATGACACACAACCAGACTACCTAGTCCCTCACCCACACAAAGCATTGGTGAGGGACGTTAATCAATAAATTTAATTAGACCATGTGGACAAATTATTAATAGGTGGAGTAGGATGCATCCATGCTTGAAGGCTTCATTTTGAATTTTGTATTTTTACTTTTATGTAGCTGATGTAACTCAAAATTAGTTAGTCAAATCGACTGTCTCTTCATACAATGATGGCTCATGCTCACTCCTTCAATGTTTACATGCACCTACTTAATATGCAAATGGTAACAAAAATAATGATTGAAAAATATGTCATCACAAGAAGAGCATAGATTGTTAATATATGTATTAATTAATAAAATACTTACTTGTTGATAAATTTAATAAATTCTGTTCGTTAGTACGAATACGACTCCTACCAATCTGAATATACTGATACTGTGATTGGTATGTAGTGGGTATAGAGCCAGTCCCTCCTATCATAAATAGGTATTCTGTACCCATAGACTCCATACACATCATACCACCATACCCTCTCTTCATTACAGCATCACTGGTTGGTATTATATTACTCCATTCATATGTTAAACTGTTAAATGAGTTGACGTCATTATAATAGCAGAAGTCGTGTCCACAATAGCCGCCAAAAAAGAAGATGTCATTGTTTCTGGTAGTACAGAAGTATCCTATAGCTCCTAGAGGAGGTGAAGTTCCTCTGGTGACGTGAGAGGACCAATGACCAGTCCTAAACTCCAGTCTATCAATGGTGGACAACAATTTCCTCTTCGGTGGGGAATCATGAACAGAAGGTAAGTCAGGCCTATTCCCTCCCCACAGGAACACTGATTCTCCTACT